AGAACCAGCTTCATCTTGCCACTGAAAGATCGCAGCACTGTCGGCCGGTGCCCCCTCTTCAGAGTTTTGAATCCCAGCTCTGTGGGTTCCTCACATTTCTGAGGTGCCAGTACTGGGGGAGTGGTGTTCAGTCCTGACGGGTTTCACTCCCAGCTCCTGGAAAAGCTTCCACATTTTAATGATCCGGGCCTTGCCTGTGATTCCCAGCCCTAAGCGTGGTGGCTGCCTACTGCCGTTGTCTCTGTGATAACTGCCCCTTTTTGCCTCCCACCTCTTCACTCACTGGTTGACAGTCGTTTTCCAGTCATATCTCTTAGAATAATTGCTGTGGTCTTGGTCCGAGATACAACAGGCAACCAGGTTTTCAGCTTCTGGAAAAGAGCCATGAGATCCAGGTACGCTTCTACACAATCCCAAGCTCAGGTGGATTTTTCACTAGCTTTCCGTATCACAACATGGGGATCTCTCCCTAGATGATGTGATTCACCCCCACGGGGAGAGCTGCAGGATTAGGGGAAACGAATGTTTCACCTACACCCTGGTCATGAAGACCTCTCCTTGCTCCCTCCTTGGTTCCCACCCTGCAGTTTCTAAGACCTCTGTCCCTTCACTCCTCTGTTTTTCCTACTTAATCAGCACCTTTTCAGCTTCCGTTTTCTCTTTAGTCAGTCTGAATCCCATTACCATCATTTCAGTCACCCTCCAGTCCTGTCTACCCTTGCATGCTTTTGTTGCCCTGCATACCTGACAAAACACAAGCCAGATTCATTCCAATCTCCCTTCTCCCAGGCTGTGACACTGTAGTAACTGCTGCTGGAGGAAATTCATAGTCTAAGCATCCACTGTCAGCCAGACCCTCCCTGCCATAGCTCTCCTGACGCCTCTGCTCTGTCCTGATCCTACCCTGCTGCCTCCTTCCCATCTCACTTGGAGGGTGGTGTCACCTACCCTTCTCATACAGCTTGAATATGGAGGCAATCCTAAGGTCTAGTTCTACTTCCAAACCCACCAGCATCTTGTCTTACTTGCTTTGGAGAAAAAGCTGTTCCTCCTTCTGTCATAGGCTAAATCTTCCACTGTCCTGCTTTCCTAATCTATTATGTTACCTAAGTTACTTTCTGTTGCCCCCCTCCACTCTCAGTGTAATCTAAGTCTTAAGGGCAGAGAATTTGCATCTGTTTTGTGTAGATGTGAGGTGCGAGGAAAAGAAAGCTGATGAAAAATAAAGCCGATGAAAAATCTTGGATGATTCTAAAATGTTTGGCCTGAGAACTGGAAGGCCTGGAGTTGCCTATAACTGAGCTGAGGATGGTCATTCGTGAGGCCGATTTGGAGAGAACAGTCAGGAGTTTAGTTCAGGATGTGTTAGCACGTTAGACATCCATGTGGGGATGTTGTGCAGGCAGTGGGATGTACAACTTTGAGAGAGGAGGTCTAGGGCGTAGGGATAAATAAAGATGTCGTCAACATAAAGATGGCATTTAAAGCCATGAGACTAGATAGGAGCTTTAAAGAGTAATTGTCAGTAATAAAGAGGAGGAGTCTAAGGACTGAGCCTGGGGACACTGCAATACCAAGAAGTCAGGGAAGAAAAATTACCAAGGAGATTGAAAAGGAGAGCCCTGGATGACGGTAACAGGTGGAAAACCAGGACAATGTGGCATCCTGACGTCCCAGTGAAGAAAGTGTTTCAATGAAGTGTCCCACTTCTTCACACTCCAACAAGTGTTGCTGGCAAGTGATACTAGATGAAAACAGAGTTAACCATTGGATTTGTCATTGAGGGGAGCCATTGTTGACCCTGATAAGAGCGGGCTTAGTATAGTGGAGGGGATGAAAGCATAGTTGCAGTGCGTTTGAGAGAAAATGGATTAATGAAGGAAAAAACAGCTTGTGGGGATAAAAATTATGAAGGTAGAAGTGGGTTTCTGATTAAAAAGCCAGTCTTGGTGCCATTATAATTCTATGGGCTCTTGAGTTACTGTCCACACTGCTTTATTCTTCTGAATGCAGTGCAGGTCCTTCAGCTGTTGCCTGAGTAGATAGTGACTTTGCTGGAGAATGCAGAGGTTGTACCTCTGCAGCACTTCTACTTTTTCCCTGCCATCTCTGACCACTCAGCTCAGGTCCCATTGAGAGACACCCTGTCTACGCACTCATTGATCGCTTAGCCTCAGGAATAATTTTAATCTCTTGTTCCTGTTTAATGCTGGTGACCTCCTTTCCCCATATATGTGGTTGTGTGCCTGTCTGTCTCATCTGTGAGAGTAAACTTTTAAGAACTGGACCTCTGCACCAAATGTGCAATGAAGTGACTTTGTTGGAGATCCATTGCCTGCCTGGTGGCTCTCATCAGTGTTGACTTCACACTCGTCTTTTTAAAGGGTTTTACATAGAACTTTTTTGAACTGGTATTCTGGGAAAATAAACAGTTGGCTGTTTGTAATACCTTCTACTAGGAGTGGGGTCTTTACTTTGTGTTCTCTAATATCAACTGTTTGGAATTATCTTTTTGGCACAATGAAAGGGGAGACCGATAAACAGATTGATAGATGAAGAGGTGAAAATTAGGAAGGGGTGGGAAAGAAATGGGAAGAGGATCTTCCTATCCAGTTGCTTTCATGATAGAGCTTCATGAGAAGATAATAGGTTAATTTGCTGAGCTGTGACATATTTACATGTAAGAGACTTACATAAGGTTCCTTTAAGTGTAGATTATTTTGAGATGGGCTGGTTGCTTCCCCAAGGAAAGGAGGCTTCAGGGTCTCCCATGGGCAGTTTTTAGGATGTAGGAAGTAGAGAACACTCTTGATGGGCTGACTTCCAGATGTGATTCTCAGTGGATTATCTTTGTTTTTGGCAGCATCACCTGGCTCTAGTGGCCAAGGCTTCTGCTAGGCTTCCCATCCAGGAGCTTTTCATCCAGGGATGCTGCTGGAGGCCAGACTTCCAGTTTTGCTAGTGAGAGATGCTTGTTAAATTAGGGGGCCAGGGATTAAATTGCAGCAGTCTCTACTCAGGTCAGCCAGTCACCATTTCATCCATAAGTCAGGGGCTCTTTGTACTTGCAGTCCCGGTAGGTACTTGCTGTGGTGGCATGATTTAGACTGAGTGACAGGGTTTGAGCTGCAGTGTGAGCATAGAGGATCAATGATAGTCACAGAGAGGATGAGCAGCCTGTGTGAGTGACCCTCTGCATCTTACGTGGAACCAAGGGACAGCATGGAGAGACTAAGGATGACCCTTAAAGCCTAGCTTCCTTCAGTGTTCCTTCTGCTGTGGACTGTCCTGCAGGGATGGTACTCAAGCTGACACATATTACACATGGGCAGCTGTTTGCAGAGAACAGAGATAGTATCCTGCCAAGGACTGACCTCTAATCTCAAGTCCTTTTTTGTAGTAGGAGGAATACATGATTTAGACAATATTGTCTTCTACAGTTAACAAAAGGAAACTAGAATAAGAGGGATTTCGCCTCTGCTGATCAAATAAAGCTGCTCTGTATCATCTAGCAAGCCCATAAAAATACCATCCATAGACTGACCTTAATAAAGGAGCCCCACTGAGGACAAAAGCACCTGAATTCCAGATTCCTGGAGCACACGCAGGCATTTATCTCTGACAAAGGAACAAAATCTCCAGGAGGCAGCTGGGATCTTTTCATTTTGAAAATGCTTTAATAAGTGTTGACAACACTGTTTTGCAAAATGTAAAGGTACTATACAAATTCTTAATACAAAAAGAATAAATTAAAAGCAGATTTCTTTTTTGATTCTGCAACTTTGTCTACAACGTACATCTTTTTCATTGATTACAGTTGAACAGAATCCAGTAAAATCATTTTACATGCTCTACAGTCAGTTTCAGGAGCAACCTAATCTCTTTTCCCCCCATTATTAAACTAGAGTCCATTTTACACAACTCTTAATAAACTATTGACATGAATGTATATGTAAAACTTTACACCTAGTTAACTAAGCAGTAACTGGTCGTCTGATAGCACCTGGATGGGGTTTGCTATATTTAGAACTAAACTAATACTGAATGAAAACAAATTGGAATTTTAACAGATTCAACACTCACCTGCATATAATAAAATAAAAAATCAACCTGGCTCACAACATAGTCTGATGTATGTGTTTCCACCAGTCTTCTGGCTGAAATAGGCAATTTCTTATATGCATCCGAAGAATCCAGTAGGGGCTTTATATCAGACCAGGGACTTCGCATTTCACCTTATTTTGTTTTAAAGAAATAGGGATATATAAAGAGTTTGCAAGTGCTTGTGTACAGTAACTACATCGTTTCCCACCACACTGATCATTAATCATGTCAGCCTCAAAGGACTAACGCTTTATGTACATTTTGTATTAACTGAACTCAGCGAAACAGTAAAACCTGTTTTACTTAATATCTGTCTTGACTACCAGACTATCCTGATGTTTGTTGGAACTGTAATTCCTGCTCCCACTCCGTTTTTCTCTGTCCCCCAAATTGAAAACATAACCCAAGTTTTTAGACTTTTTGCCTCTCATTCCTTGCTTCTCAACTGGGTTAGAATCTTGATCCAGTTTTCTCCAGACTAGATTTCACACTACTATGCATGGTGTGGAACCTGTAACGTGTAACCTCATCACTTTCTGTTACCCTTTTGACTTTTCCTCTTGCACACAGTTCAGTCTGATTATTCATGAATCTTCTTTGAGAGAACGAAAAATGGCCCAATGTATAACGTTTCTGAATGTGAAAGGGAGAAAAATCCCTGCTCTTTGTCGCTCTGACCATGAAAATAAAAGCAGCAAAAATATCCCCCCGTGAATCCCTAGAATCATTTAATAATATAACCGATTTCTGTTTATCCCGCAGGTGGACACCTAAAGTGTCCTGGGAATATTGATCCCTTCTGTAAGCTGCAATCACCAGTCCAGCCATGCATGGAGCTGGGAAAAGCAGGCCCTGAATCGTCTACAGAGACTTGGTGGAGGAGGCCACGGTCCGCCTTGTCCTGGGCAGGCCCCAGCCAGGTGTGAGTGCCCCAGCCCAACTCAGTGGTCTCCATGCTGCAGCAGAGGAACACCGTGAGTATTTATTTTGTCTTAATGTCCTTCCTTACCCTCCTGGTCTGGTAGAGCCTATGATTATTCTTGGATTCCACATACATGAAAAACGAAGATTTTTCTGTTACTTTGATGTTAAAGCTAACTTCAGTTCTGCTTTCCCACAAAACTACCCCACCCTGGCTCCTGTCCCTGGCTGTCAAATGCCTTTCCAATAGGAAGTCATTAGAGAAAAAATACCACCCCCCACCCCCCCACCACTTGCGCTAAAAGCACAGCATACCACCTCTGCGGAAACCTTTTTGTGCCATCTTGAATAACCCAACTAAGGTTGTGCACTTGTTAGTTATTATAAAAGTAGTTTTGAGGCCTTTGAAGATTGATGGCTTTCCAGTTGTGTTTGAAGCACAGCTCAAAACACATGTAAACGTGCAGCTCCCACACGTTACCTTTTCTTCCTTTTTCCTCCTCTTTTGGTGTCTGCACACAACTGTGGTGCATGACAGTAACTGATGATGTAGACACATGGGCCCTTTGGGAGCTGCAATTTTTTTTTCACCCCTGCTCTGCCTGTTGGCTAGTAGACACATGAGTCAAATCTTTCTACCTAAGGGCATCGTTGGGTTCTTGGAGTAAGTGACACACAGGAGAAGTCGGATCTGAGCTCTTTTGTCACACAACTGCTAACAAACAGAGAATGAGCCACGACAGTTAAACACTGAATGGATCGCAATGTGCTTTTCCCTTGGTTTCCCATAAAAAAAGAAAATGAAACACCTTGTGCAAAAAAAACAGGATATGCTTTTACTGGTTGTTTTAATGAGAGAGAACCACTTTTGGCCATTATCACCTTATGTTTACTACAGATCCTGAAAGGAAAGCAGCTCTGAGTCTTGGGCTTGGCTGAACCCCCTGCTTGGACTGGGGCTAACAGTACCCTCCACGGCTCCCACGGGTCTCTCTTCGTGTCCAGACGGATGGCGACTGTGAGTCAGCAATGCCAGCCCAGAGTCCCTCGTCTTCACCGTTGCATTGGGTTAGTGTCTCAGGCTTTCTACAGAGAGAGAAGTGGACCATGAAGGGAGAAGGCTGGAGAGGGCACCAGTGTACACAGGGCTGACCTTCACTTGTGTGTGGTAGCAGTTCAGAATTTAAAAGCAATTTCCTTGCAGAAAGAATGTCTTCCTCTTGGCCCCTCTTAATTTTTTGTGTTTTTGTTAATCTTTGGCTGCACAGAACTGATCGTGGTCCTCCGATGCATCTCTGGTGTCGAGAGCTTGCTTTCTTATCCCCCCTCCCCCACAGCCACTCCCCACAAGCTGTCTCCTCAAGGAATATTTCAGGTGTAAACTCAATATGCCACAAGGCCTCCTCTTGGTGAAGTGCTTGGTTGACCTGTGGGTGGCAGGCTGGACACAGCTGAGTCGTCTTTCTGGGTCACCCTGTAACTCAAGTCCCCTTTCCGGTTCTCTCCCAGCACGACTTGTCCGCAGGAATTGGATGCCAGCCGGCCCCCTTGATGATTCCTGGCCTAGGGGCTGTCATGGCAGGGGGAAGCCACCAAGGTGCCATTGAGGATTGGTGTCTGGCTCTCTATGGGTAAGAGAGCCAGGGGACACACAGTGGGACCGGAACCTTCCAGAATGTCTCCTCAGTCAGGTTTTCAAAGGGGAGGGAATGTGGAGACAGGAGAAAAAAAGTGCTGAGGGCCGAAGCTGGTGCAGGGTGACGGTGCGTCTGGGTAAGGCAAATGAGAGGCAGTGAGGTGATCTCAGAATGGCGTTGAGGCGGTCAGATTAGGCCGGGCTGGCTCACACGAGGGTTCCGGGCTTGGCTTTTTCCTGCCCGTACCACTGGACGTCAGCTAGTTCTGGATAGAGGGAGGAATCCAGGAAACAGCTATCATTGTAGCTCCTGCAGGAGGCCCAAGAAAGGAGACGAGACAGTTAGTGGAGGAGGACGCGTTCAGCTTGACCCGGCTCTGTGCTAATCACGTGTCGTTCCTGTACAGAGCAGTGAGGCCTGAGACCCTCCACAGTGCGGTGTGTACAGAGGGCCCCCAAAGACCCTCCAAATACACACAAAGGGGCCTCCTGTAAAGGAGGAAGATGGAAAGTAACACTCAGTGCAGTGGTTCATGAGTGTGGCTGCATCCGCGGAGCACCGGGGAACTCCCAGAAATACACATGCCTGGGCCCCTCTGTGGGGAGACGCAGGCCTATTACGGTCTGGGGTGTGTGAGCGCTGGGGCTGTCAAAGCTCCCCACCAGGTGATTCTCAGATGCAGCCAAAGCCAGAACCCCTGCGCTGTTATCCTCAGGTGTCTTTTTCCACACCACAGCTCTGTGAGACCCCAGGGCAAAACAGGTGTCACTAGGAAATTTATATTCTGTCCCAGAAGACCATTTGAAATGTGAAGTTTCACTATAGTGAAACTGCGGTGGTATTTTGAATTGTGTTTTAAAAGTTTTAAAGAAATCAATGCTGACTTTGCTTTATTCTAAGTAATATGTATTGTTTTGTGATTATAAAACTGTGTTCATTTGAAATATGTAGAAAAGTCTAAAGAAAATAAAAGGCTTTTTTTAAAACATATTTTAGGTAGGTATCACCATCTAGGTTGGGTAGAAGTCAATCTTAAGAAACGATCATAGATACGTGGATGCCAATAGTCATTACTAGGGATCATGATTAGGAAAAAGTGTCTCTCCAGTGATCCTGAATGAGCCCTTTGAATCCCTCTCTGGCAACTGATCTCCCCATGGGTAGTGCTAGGGGAGTGGTCAGGGATGGGTGACAGGAAGTGACCCTACGTGAACCCAGCGTAGTTCACGGTGGGTGAGTTTTAGGAGCATTTCAATACCAAACACAGCTTCATGATTGAGAACCATCAGTCATATCATTTTCTGTTTCATTTGCTAACTTCTCCAGGAACAACTGGATGTTGTGAATGTTTCTCACCTGGCCTTAAAAAAAAAAAAGCATGAAAGCTGAAAATGCCAAGGCATCTGTGCACATGCCGGCGGATTTTAATGAGAGTCCTGTGCTTGGAGCACCAGAAATAAACCAGCTTCACAAGCAAAGTAACAAAAGGCCTTAGATGATGACACTGGCCATGGGTATTACTACGTGTAGGTGGTAAGTGGATGATCCTGGGACACCTGTCCTGCACACTGTCCACCCTGACTCAGCTACTTCTGCAATTGTGCCTGAATAACTGGAAAACTTCTAAGGGGAGAAGTGGCTGGGCCCTCCAGGGGGACAATCCCTCCCTAACTCCATGTGATCTTGGTGGTGCTCTCTACCACGGTTCCATCCTCGCTCCCACGGGGATCAGGGGACGAGGAAACCAACAGGGCCGGGCCAATGAGAGTCCCCTGATCACAGTTCCTGGTTCAAAGATGGCCACATGCCTGAGCAGCTTTGAAACCACAAGGATGTCATTTCCTCCTAAGAACGAAGTTAACAGGTGGAAGAAGCAGAGCTAGAGATGGAATGAGACCCAGCCACCCTGGGCTCCAGTGACATCAGCCGGTATGTGCTCTTATTTGCTTATGCTTGTTGAATTGAGTTTGTTTTCATATGAAGCTAATGAATACTGGCACATTTAAGTAGTTTCTTGAACTGTTGATGTAATTCTTGTTTCTAACACAAGCACGATCTGCGTCTGTTTGGGACAAAAATTCCCTAGGAGGCTTCGTGAGGTCTAAGGAACCACTTTAGCCAGTGTTTCTCAAAGCATCCTGTGAGATGCTCTGAGGGGAAAAAAGGTTCCATGGATAAGTTTGAGGACTCTGCCTTTCAGAGGCCTGAAATGTATGTGAGACATATATTAAAGGTTCCGAGAAGTCCTGCATTATTATGCTGTTTGACCCAGAACTTCTGGAACAGTATCACCTATTAACACCCACAGGGCATACTTTGAAAAATACTCTCAAGCTAATATTATAAAATGTAGTTGACTCTCTTGTATGTTGGATCCTAAAGAAAAAGTTGAGTAATAATTGTATCACAAATACCAAGTACTTTTGTGACAATATAACCTGCTTCAGGGGGATTAAAAGTCCACTATGTATTGATCATAAAGGCTCAAGGAAAGACCACCGAGTTCAAAGCAGCGACGTCTGCATAAGGCAGATGAGGGTAAGGGTTCTTGGGGTGGTTGATTTGGTACATGAAGAGCCTAGCTCTTGGCTGGCCCATGCTGCTCTCCTGCATTTCATCATGGAGGCTTCTGGGTCACAGAATCCAAATACGAGAAAGCATTGAGATCTGGATGATGGGGTGGGATGGGAGATGCTGGAATGGCGGTTTGATTCCCAGGCGGCTCCCAGAGAGGCCTCAGTATGGAAACCACTGGCCTGCTCCTGCCTCTGAGAAGGGTGGAACTTGCAACAGTCCGGAAAAGGCTGTGAGTAGTCCGACATGTACATTTTTTTTCCAAATTAAAATTTATACACTAAAGGAATAAAAGAAAAAACCGAAAATGAAGCCGGAGAAGAAGTTTTATTTTTCCAAACTTGCGACGTTTTCTTAGTGCTTCCCCATTGTTATTGAAGTATGTAAGGTTTTTTTTTGTTTGTTTGTTTAGTTTTGCTCTTTGTCACCCATGCTGGAGTGCAGTGGTGAGATCTCGGCTTATTGCAACCTCCGCCTCTCAGGTTTAAGCGATTGTACTGCCTCAGCCTCCCGTGCAGTTGGGATTACAGACGTGAGCCACCACGCCCAGCCAAGGTATTTTTAAAGCTATAAATGTTGCTTCCTGTGTTGGTCTCTTAGGTTTGGGGAAGAAACCTTGTTGTGGCTGCTGAGCTAAGCCTTTGTCTCTCAGTACAAATTCAATTTTATGGTAATAGTTAAGGAATGCCGTGTGCTGTGAAAGCAAAATTAACAAGAGACCATTTAGGAAGCATTTATTCTTCACGAATAACACAAATGGGACCACTAAATAGTTGCCGTAGTAAACCGAAGTTAGTCATTCACTGGAACCTGAGCCAGGGCAGGATGAGGATCTAGGCATGCCCTCTCAGCTATGACCCACAAGACTGGCTTTGACCTGGGCACCCTGGGTCACAGAAGCGGTGACTTCAGAATCTGCGATATCCTGTGCCTATGGGGACTTTTCACTGCAAGAATGCCCTTTCCCAGGGCTATGCTCAGAGGTGTGTGGCCTGCAAAGGGTACTCGCTAAGCAAGGGCCCTCTGATACCAGACAGACGGCAAATTCACCCACATCTCACTGGAGTTTGTGATTTATAACTGCTTGGCATAGGGAAGTAAGGCTGCTAAGAATGAGGAATTTCAAACTGAATTATTACTGTCAATGTATATTTCAGCAGTCCTTTCTCTTCATAGCTTAGTCATATTTGAGAAACATGGTTTCACTTACAAAACCAACTGGTGACACATACTTGGGTTGTTGAATAGTCCCACAGTTGGTCACAGGCCAGAGGATGGGTGACGAGGCCCTGTAGACCCATCTGTCTGTCTTACCTGGTCTGGGAAGGGGCTGCCGCTCAGTCTGTGTCCATGCATGTGCACATGTCTGCATAAGCATGCACTCTGTATGTGTGGAGGTATTTCAAGCAGACTTGCCTACATTCCCACAGCAGCTCTTTCAACCCTGGTTAATTCTCACGTTCTGGCTATCATCCCTACCTCCATCACCTTGAACAGATGATCAGCTCCCCCATCCCGGGGGAGAAAAAGGCCATTCTCCCTCCTTCAAAAATGTTGACTCATGACATCATCCTCTTCTTTTTTTCTGGCATGTGGTTGATGGGGTTGGAAGTCCACCTTCCTTCCAGTGCCTAATTTGTTCATACTGTCCTAACCTACTTTTCAAGTCAATATTTTTTTTTCTACAGCAAAACGAGACTCTACTGTTCACCACCCTTCACCCTCGTCTCTGCACTTGGAATGATCTCTCTCCATCTCCACCTGTCTAAGCCTCCCTCCTCCTCCCACCAGAGGCCTTTGTGTCTAAGTCTTAGAGCACTTAATACATAAGTGTGGCAGTTTCTCATGCCCCTCATATATCTCCTGATAGGCAATTGGATTTCAATGCCTAGTGTCCCAGTCAGACTGTAGTAAGGGCCCCAGGGCTAGGAACCAGACCAGGTGGTACACAGGTTTTCTGCCCCCGTGCTTTGCAAATTTCAACGTGCATTGATTTACTCAGGAATCTTGTTAAATGCACATCAGGTTCAGTAGGCCAGGGTGGTGCCCAGGGTCGAGCTTTCTAATGAGCTCCCAGGTGATGGTGGTAGAGATCAAAATGCTGGCTTTGGATTGAAGAATGTAGGTAGAACATGGTGACCCTGAAACATACTTTGGGGCCAGGCGTGCGGATCACTTAAGGACAGGAGTTTGAGACTAGCCTGGCCAATACGGCAAAACCTCGTCTCTACTAAAAATACAAAAATTAGCTGGGCGCGTGTCTGTAGGTACTAGGGAGGCAGGAGAATCGCTTGAACCTGGGAGGCAGAGGTTGCAGTAAGCCAAGATTGCGCCACTGCACCCCAGCCTGGGAGATAGAACAAGACTCTATCTCAAAACAAAACATACTTTGGGGGTCTTTTCTGCCAAGTAGTGTTTACAATATCTAACATAGGATGCAAGAACCTTCATCTAAACATAGAGATCCCCATGTATCTAGAAATATGGCATAAATACAGCATTCAGATGCCTCGTTGTGGAAATGGTGAGATAAAGAAAAGCAACAACATGTAGGCAGCACCTGTGGGAACACAGACTCATGGGCAGTAGGAAGCAAATTCCCCTTACGGTACCTCTATTCATCAGTACTTTGGTGAGGTGGAGACTCAGACCCATCCAGAATGGGTGAGTTTTCTGTTGCTTCTCTGAACAAAGGAAAGCAGAAGGAGGAAGAGAAGAGAGGTCATGTTACAGAGAGGAACTGACACAGACACGATTAGTAGCTTATTAATACATCGGAAAGGCCCCTGATTAGACACGCGAGTTAGCGCCAAGCCATGCAGAGCTTTCAGTCCCCATAACTGAGTCAAGACCTAGTTTGGTAGGAGGGCTGGGCCCTCTTTGGTACTTTTTACTCATGGCCTCATTTCTTATCACATCATAGCAAACAGTTTACAGTTTATGTCAAGAACCAAAATAGCTCTTTTGTTTCAAATTTGTCTTGAGTCCCCACTAGTTGTAGATGGTGAAATAGGCAAGTTTCAAGACCATCTTAAGTGCACAGGACCCTGAGGAGTGCTTGTACATTTCAGAGCTTGCTGCCAGTGAAATAATACAATCATATATTTGGATCTGGTGACATTGGGCATGATTCAGAAAATTTGGAAGCTCTAGAGAGGGATCTTGCGATCTGAAGTTTCATATTTAAAGGAGGTGGTTTAGTCAGTGGAGGTATGTATTACATATACGAAAGATGTGTCCTCCTTTAATGAATTAATCTTACTGAGACTCTTAGACCCTAAACCTTATAGAGGCGGCCTGGCCACACAGGTGAGAGCTGGGGTGTGGGTGGTATCTGAGTGATCTATAGTAAGGACAGAGGGGCAGCCAGTGCCCAACGGACGGAGAAGTAGGAGTGGGCACAGCACCAAGCTGGTGGCTCCCGTTTCCCTTATTTGAAAAAGAATCAGAGGCAGCATGGGATCGTTCAGTGACTGTCAAACTTGAGCGTGTGGCAGCATTACCTGGAGGGCTTATTAGACGGTAGACTGCTGGGATCCACCCCCAGAATTTTGGATTTTTAGGTACAGGAGAGTCCGAGAATTTGCATTTCTGACAAGATCCCAGGTGAGGCTCACTCATGCTGCTGCTTTGGGACCACACTTAAGAACCACTGGTGTAGTGGATAAAGACAGGGTTTGAGGTCACAGAGGGCAGGGCTAGAATTCCACCTCCCTCCAGCTGTCCGATGGTAGGCCAGGCACTTATTTTTCCTGAGTCTTAGCTATGAAACTAAAACATCTGGGTATTTCCCTTGCTAGGGTGTGGTGAGGATTATATAAGCTCATATGTGTTAGAAGCTGCTCCCAGCCTTTGAGTACATAGCAAGCACTCGATAAATGTTTGTTAGGACCCTTTCTTTCTTGCCAAAAATCAATGTGCCAGAAAACCTGGTGTAAAATTGCTACAGACAAACTTGTAGGAACAAAAATGTTGGCCAGGAACCTGTAATCCCAGCAATTTGGGAATCCGAGGTGGGCAGATCACCTGAGGTCAGAAATTCGAGACCAGCCTTGCCAACATGGTGAAACCCCTTCTCTACTAAAAGTTAGCCAGGCATGGTGGTGCACGCTTGTAATCCCAGCTACTCGGGAGGCTGAGGCAGGAGAATCACGAACTGCGGAGGTTGCAGTGAGCCGAGATTGTACCACTGCACTCCAGCCTGGGCAACAGAGTGAGACTCCAAGTATGAGAGCCTGAAAGGCAGGCAGTGGAGTCCATTCTGGAATTGTGCTTCTCTCATGATTCAACTCACAGTTGTCAGATTTTTCCAGACATCCCCCGATGCACCGACAAACTGAGGAAGGGGACTTGTTACTCCTCTAACCAATAGATGTTGACAGAACCTAACATCTACTTAGAGACCATATCTCGGGCAACAGAAGAGGCAGCTGCTGAAGGGCCAGGCAGGTTACCTGTGTCTGCCAGACCCTCTAGTCGGTCAGAACAATCTCACTGGCCACAACATTATAATGCTCTATGCAAACATATAAAGCTATCAAGCTGCCTTTTGGTTTCATTTATTTTGCTGCCTGTAGCCTCCACTGAAAGGCTTCAGGGCACCTGATCTCCTTTGTGTGCTGATAAAGAACAAGTGCTTGGCCAGGACAGAGCCTTTTTTCTTGCACCCTGAGACACCCTAAGACAGCAGATGTCACCTGCCTCTCAGTTAATCAGCTCGCTCTCTCCTCCTGACATTCTTGCTGGGCATTTTGAGTTGGCCTGGGTATAATCTGAACCGAAATCAAATGCTACCTGGAAATGTGACCCGAGCAGCACAGTCCCCCTTCCTGCTTCCATCTCCCCACATCCCAAGGACCACCGCCTACTTTAAGAGAACACAGACAGTTCACCTCTGTACAGGCACAGCCAGGGAAAGGAGTAGGCAGAGGTGACAGCAGATCATGGGACTTCTCTTGAAGACACTTCCCAGTGATGAACCCTCATTGTCAGTTTACTGTCTTACCCTTATATCACTAGGATCTGAACGTCTGTGACACTCTTTGGAGCTGACACAGTGAAGAACATGGAATAAGAACCAGGCCAAAGGCCTGGAAGGAGAACTCACCCAGTCTGCCAGGTTAGGATGTGGTGGGGGCTACTTGGGGGGGTGGCTCCAATTTCACTTGAGGGTGTTGAGCTTCTCTGGCTTTGAGGTAAGGCAGCTGGATGCAGGTGGTGCAACAAAGGCAAAGAGAAGACAGGGATCAGACACAGGTGAAGGGGCTTGTGACTTGCTGGCCGACACCAACCCAGTGGCCAGAGGTCACCCTGTCCAGGAATGCTGGAAAGGACCCCATGGCAGGGTTTCAGCCTCCCTATGGCAAGGTCACAGTGGGGAACCATCTGCATGCCCCCCCCCCCCGCCGACCCCACAACCTCTGCATCCCACCAATTGCATTTTCTCCCCACTACCATGCACCTTCCTTCTGAGCCAAGCTGACCTGGGATCCTAGGTCCCCACTTTGCCATCACAGAGTGGCCATAGGGATGGTGACCGCTTCTGCAGCAGCAAAGAACCTGATGCCCCTATGTCCTTTGAGTGAGACAACACCTGAGCAGAGCTCATACAGGAAGGGCCTGTTTCTCTCCATTGTGAAGACAGTGCACCCAGAAAGGTTCTTAGAGCCTGCGCTCTCTGCCGTTTCATTACTATCATTGCTACTGTAGTGCGTTTGGAAAAAAGCAGGACTTTTAATAGCTCATCCAAACCTGACTGCTAGGCATTTACTGATGCAGGCAGATTTAGTAGGACGTCAATCCTACTTAAACGCATCCTTTGCTTTCTTGGGGATGGAATCTTTTCCATCAGTAAACTTCAGATACAGCTTTTTAAAAATTTTAGTCTAAAGTATGTTCCAAAAGATCTACCTAATCTCCTTACATAAAGCAAATCTACTAGACAAGTGCTGCAATTTTGATAGAACATAAACACTCTTAGAAATTGCTGGTTCTTTATCTAATAGGGTCACAGATGATTGTGCTCAAGATGTTCCTGGGGAGTCAATGGCAAATTTCACTGTGCTGTTTTACAGATGAAGGAGGAATATAAGGAAGGTTCCAGGACCTTGAAGTCCATGGAACTCCCACGACTGCCTGATCTCTGGAGCTTGTCATTTGGCCAACAACAGGGATATGGGAACAGAAGGCAGGAGCCTGGCTCACTTGGGCAGTCAGCTTCTGCCTCTTTCCCTGCTGTCTCCAGCCACCAAGAATGTCCTACAGTTCCCCCAAGATGAACCCCCCATTACCTTTCAGGTCACTCTGTTTCCCCTGATCTTTGTCAAATTCCTGACTCAGAGCTCCTCCCATTGGCTTCTGACTCTCATTTTATTCTTAGTGTTAACCATTTCTGTTCTCATTCTCCCTTTTATGAGTGCTGAGACCAGAGCGCGAGGCAACTGCTCAGTGCTGGTCGTCACTGACACTGTTATTAAATAACTTCATAAGGGAATGGTTGGTTTCTACTTTTTTTTTTTTTTAAACTTGATTCAATACTGCACAATGCTGTGGAGTACAAGAATATAAGGTAAACCTTAACCTTAGATTATGGAAATTTTCAGGCATAATATCAAGGATATTGAAGACACTTAACTAAAATTAGTGTGTGGCTATGCCATATCATCATTGAAATGGGAAGCCAGGAGCAGTGAGAAATTCTGTCAGATGCACGCCCGGCCCTCTGTTTATCAGCCAGTCTGCCCCTCCCTGGGGAGACACTGGCCCAATCTCTAGGATTGACCCAAGCGCATCCCCAACCCCGCTTCCTTTGCAAGCTACAGCTATGGGCTCTCACTTACTGGGATCCTCTCCTCACTAGGGTAAAGGCGCACCTTTGGTTGGATAAAGCTGGAGACGTTACTTATCTTTCTTGGATGGAAGAGATGGTTTAGACTTTGACTAAGGAAGCTGAAGTGGGAGAGCTGGCCTAGTGCCCCCCGGAGGGTCAGGTGCCCGGTTAGGGTGCAATTGGGGAGGGGAGTCAGCACAGGCCTCAAGTCTACCGCAGCTGACAGCAGGGTTCCGGGAGTGAATGACTGGTTCCTCACTGCACCCAGCTGTAAGGGTACCTTCCGGCAATAGCCCTGAACACCAGGAGCAGATCCCACCCAGGCCTTCCCGTGAGTGCCCGGACTCCCCTTCTCACCTGACGTGGCCTTGCACATCTGGGGCATCCTGGTGACCCTGCTGTGCGCCACGAAGGTGCTCTGGGAGGAGGTGCTGTACTGCGAGCCGCTGTCCGAGGAGGTGGAGCTGGTGTGTGACAGGCGGCTGTGCTCCTTGTGTGAGGCGGTGGAACGCTGGTACCACTGGCGCAGCTCATCCGACACTGCGGCGCGGCCTGCGCCCTTGTCGTGGGAGCCCTCGCGGCCCAGCGACGGAGTCCGCAGGATCTGCGATCGCGATGGCGTCAGGCGGCCCGTGTCGCCCTCGTCGCCGCCGCTGCCGCCGCCGCGCCAGCTCTCCTTGAACAGGCCGCCCGCCGTGTAGGAGTTGGAGGTCTTGAACTGGGCCTTGACGCTGTAGTGGCCCTCCTGGTCGCTCTCCAGGCTGCGCACCACCACGGGCGTGGCACCGCCCTCGATGTACAGCGGGTACTCCTTGATGCGGTACTGCGAGCTGGGCTGGCTCTGGCTGTGCAGGTACACGCCGCCCCCCGCGCCCCCTGCGCCCCCCGCGCCCCCACGTGCAGCCAGGTTGGGCATGCTGCCTGAACTGGCCGAGCCCAGCGCGCCCGCCACCCGCTGTCGCTGCCGCTGCCGCTGGCGCGCCTTGGACGGCGAGTCCTCGGCCAGCGTGGAGTAGTTGGCGTTCATCTGCGCTGGGTAGTAGTGCTCCGAGCTCGAGTGGCTGGTGCACGACGAGCAGTCGTCCATGGGGTCCGAGCCGTTGCTGCTACGAGTCCGCGGGGTGTAGAAGTCGGGGCTCCCGGTGTCGTTCTCCGAGCCCAGGAGCTTGCCCTGGGACTCCAGGCTGGAGCTCCGGTGCCTAAAGTGCAGTGCGAGGCTGTGCAGTCGCGTGGGGCTGATGTCCACCGACCTGCCAGAAGACGTCCCAGGTTGGTCTGGGGGTGGGAAGTAGGGGGTGGGCCGGGGGAGGAGGGGGTCCCGAGGAGGGCAATGGGGGCCTCCACGCGGGCTCAGACCCCAGCCCAGCAAGCCAAAGTCTCCCTCAGCAGGGTTGTCCCGGGGATCCGGGAACTGCCTGCTGTTTCCAGGTGAATGGAACTGTCCTTTTCGGGAGGCGAACCTGGGATCTCTACCTTGATTCCCAGTGGGAAATGGGACCGAAGCTAGGACTCAAAGAAGTATTTCCATTTCTGAGGCTTTTTTTTTTTTTTTTTTAAAGTGGAAATGATTCTATTATGACTCCAGTATCATGTTAAACCAGACAGGGCTGGGCGCGGTGGCTCAGGCCTGTGATCCCAGGGCTTCAGGAGGCTGAAGAATTGCTTGAGCCTGGGAATTTGAGACCACCCTAGGCAACATAGTGAGACCTTGTCTCTTTAAAAAAAAAAAAAAAAAAAAAAAAAAAAAAAAAAAAAAAAAAAAAAAAAAAAACTTGGAAAATTAGCTGGGTGTAGTATTGTACACCAGTGGTTCTAGCCAGTCAGGAGGCTGAGAAGCGAGGATCGCTGGAGGCTGCAGTAAGCTTTGATCAAACCACTGCACTCCAGCCTGGGAGTCTCTATTTTAAAAAAAGGCAAAACACAAACCAGATGAAATGTCCATATTTACAGATCAGATCAAAGAACAGTCCTACAGTTTAACCGAATCCTGTCACAAAATCCATATAAATAGACTCCCTTTTCCTGTGAAAACTGGGAAATAGAAGTTTGGTGGCAAATGAACTAATTAAAAAATGAATGATACAGATACTCACCACACCATTACTTTATCTATAATTCATTCTGCTCATTTGAGTCCACTGAGGACTCAGGGAAGAGCGAGACAGTATCACACGGCAGATGACATTGCCCGATGCTGGGACTGCATGTGAAATTCAGTGGCCCCACTGGCCAAGCACAGGAAGAGGTAAGCCCCACTTCTGACTGCCACTCAGAAGGGAGCTGAAAGCCCCCATCACATGGCCCGTGGTGATCTGGTTTGCTTCTTTTTAGAAAAAGAAGTTGTGACTCACTGAAGGCTCATTTTTGCCTGGCTCTTTTGCTCTTTATGAATTTACACTTTGAGGCACTAAAGGAAGTCCAGTATAAATTTAGGCCTCCGTAGAAAGATATAAGAGGACTACTGATTAGCGATCACCCCATCCCAGCTCTTCCCATGCTAACCCAGCTAGCCTCTGCTACCTCTGCTTTGATTAGGAAACTTTCCATGCTCCCTGTCTCCAGGAGCCTGGCGATTCTCTGGCTGACTCCAAGTGCCCTCTGCATGGGTCTCTTGGCTAACGGCGTTGACTGCTGCCAGCCAGGTTTTTTATTCTGCTTCATTTATCCTCCTGGGTTCAGGTTTGACTGCAGCTTATCCATTATTTGGGCCAGCTGGGGGCTGGCAATGCCCAATTTTAAAAAGGAAGGTCTGGTTTGAGCAGGGAGGTGGCCCGAAGGCCGGGCGGACTCACCTTGTGGAATGGACATAGTGGGGACTCCGGACCCGCAGGTCTGGCGTGGACGGCATGCTGGACTGTGAGTTCCAGTGCGGGAGGCCACGGATGGGGCTGTTCTGCAAGGAGTTGCTTCCTCCGCCTGCTTCTGCACAGCTTCCTGTGCTGGGGAAGCGCTTGTGGCTGCTGCAAAGCCAAGGAGGCCATGTGGTCACTGCCAGACAGACAGCACCTTGGGGGGGGGGGGTGGCAGGGGATGGGTGCTGGCTAGTTCAGGACATTGATCCCAGTATGGGGAAAGCTCGCCAATGACTCTCACCTCGCTCGGTCAGACCTCTGCTGTGTTCTCAGCCTTTCCCCAGCAGTGGGTAGGCATCCTGGTCCCTGAACCCCCCCAACCCCTAGGCAATATGAGACGAAGACCCTGGTCAGCCTTCTTTTTATCAGGCAGTGTGACTGTCCTGCCCTTACAATTTTTGTTTTCCAAGAAACAAATATTGACCTGTTGTGGCACCCCCTTGGAGCTCAGTAGGGTGACTAAAGGAAATGAGAAAAGCAGAGAAGCAGACCCCAAATGCCTTCAAAAAAAAAAAACCCTCCCTCCAAGGTCGGCCTGGTAATGAGCTTGGATTATAGCTGCTTGGCTGGAGAATTCTGCTGGGTGAGGGGGTGGAGTTCTGAACCACTCTGCAGTTGCTACCAGTGGACTTCAACTTGACATTTTGCAGTAGTGCTGCCTGAGATCTCCTAATTAATTCCTCTGGAATTTAACAACATTCAAGCCATCTGCCATCACGTTGATTGTGGGCCAAACGCCAGATTTCCCTTTAAATCACAAATCTGTACCTCAACAGGGTCATCAGCAGAGGGTGCTGTGAGCACAGCCCCGTGAAAGGCAAACTCCGGAGGGAGGAACTAGGTTGACGGGGATTTTGTCATCATGGATGCTACTTGGGACAGCCCTTTGATTCTTCCAAAGCATGGACAGAGGCCTCCTCTGGCCTCATTCACGACCCAGCTCACCTGGAATGGCTGTGAGAGGAGCGTTTCTTGACCTTCTCATAGGGCTCATCTAAAGAGGACTCACTCCACATCTTGGGCTTGATGGGGGACTTGTCATAGTCGTTGCGGTGATAGTGCATCTGCCGGAGTCCCTCCAGGGACTGGGGAGGAGGGGGCCTGTTGTGCGAGGGTGGCCGAGGAGGGAGTCCCTTGTGAGGAGAATGTAGGGGGGATATTGTGCTGGTAACCTGAGAGTCTTCTGCACAAAGACAGGAAGAGAGGAACTGAGCCCCGGTCATCCTTTCCACAGGCTGCGACAGAGCCCCCCCCGTCCAGCCCCTCACCCCCACCTTGGAGCCACACAGCCAAACCCACACCTTTCCTTCACTCCTGTAATGAGAAACCCTGGGACTCTTCCCCAGTCGCCAAGACAAGTCAAGACGAGTCAAACCAAACCAGGCAAACCAAACCCCCACTGCAGGCGGGACCGCATGGGAAATGAGATGCCTCACTTTTGATTTGACATGAATGGAGAGAAGTCTGAACGTCATTAAATAGCACCGACAAATGACTGCTTCACACCAAACAGCAAAATGTAGTTACTGCTCCAGAGTAAGTTGTCTTTCAACAAACACTAAGCATCTAATTCACTTTGGGAGGGTCTGAGTTCCAGGAGAGTTTTGTCTGTTTCATCTGCTGCTAGATCCTCAGTGCTGTAAATGACAGCCAACACGCAGTAGGCGCTTGATAAACATTGGTTGGAGTGAAAAAAAATGAATGAAGGTCTATCTGTCCATTGTAAATCCCTGCCGGGTGGGTCAGGGGTGTCTACTCTGTGCTTTTTTCCCCAGAGCTGTGTATATTCTCTTTTAATCTGTTCCTGTATGATTTTGAAACTGCCTTAAGAAGATTAGCTACAAAGATTAAGTATGAATAAATGAGTCCCTGCCTCCAGGAAAGGAATGCTCTCACAGTCAGTGTGCTAGAGGACTTTCAGAAAAAGCAAATTCAGTGAGACTAGAAGGTCCTGTGGGAGAGGCTGGTCTTGAAGGGGCTTGAGCAGTGGCCAGGCAAAGAGGAGGAGGAACCAAGGGCTTGAACCAAAGTGTGGAGGCCCCAAGGGCAGGATACCAGGTTACAGGCACATCCGGCCCGGCAGGGGCTGGGGAGGAGGAGCGGGAGATTGAGGGAGGCGCTCTGGTCAGCACAGCTGCCTTTTGTGTGCACTGTGAGCATCAAGAGCCCGGCTGATGGGGGCCTTGAATTCCGAGCTAAGGAGCTGAGATTCTGAAAAGCCACAGGATAACTCTGCAATGTCTTAAGCACAGATGCATCAGGGTGAAAAGTCCTGTTTTACAAGTATTCACCAGGCAGCATTCTAAAACTAGAAAGGAAGGGAGAAAGACTGGAGGGGGATAAACGAGGACTCTAGGCTGGAGATCAGCATTGAGAAGAGAAAGGAGAGAATGATTTAGACTTCATGGGGAAGGCAGAGATGGGAGCTGGAGGGCAATAGTGGACAGAAGCAGACCTTAAAAACAACCAACTACCTTTCACTTGCCCCTACATCCATTTTCAGTGATTC